CCCCAAAACCCCAAAACCCCGTTCTGACTAATCAATTTCAATAATTAAGTTATATAAATAAAATCTAAGTAAATAAATAAATTAAATTAAGATTGCCAGAAAATGCCTTCAAACTAACTTGTTCTTTAGCCGATTTTCCTGATAATACTCATAATAATCTTTGCTTCAAACGCTTATTATAAAGAAAGCCTTCAAAAGATGAGCATAGATTATATAATCTCTATTTAAGATGATAGGAGTCAGATAGCAGTTTACATTTATAAATTTTTGGCAGATATTGGTGCTGGTCATATATATTATGTACTTATCGTGGTATTATTAGCAATGGGCAAATCAACTCTTGGATTTTACTTGACATTGACCTTTGTATTCAACCGTTATTTATAAACAATATCTAAACTTTTAATTCATGATCCTAGACCTTATATGGTTGATGAGAGAGTTGAGGCTATGAGTTGCTCTCATGAGTATGGTAATCCAAGTGGACATGCTTGTAACGCTGCTACTTTTGCAATAGGTTTATTTTTTGAATATAACTATCCTTTTGGAAAACCAAAAATTTCTAAGATATTGAGTTATGTTCTAACTCTGATTTCGGTTATCTTTTACATATTTATGTTAAGTTATGATAGAATTTATGTTGGTGTTCATACCTTGGATTAGATATTTTTGGGCATCAAGCTAGGAACATGGGTTGCTCTATTCTTCCATATCTGCTTCAGAGACTAAATTTATGAACACATTAATCAAATATTTACTTACTCATAAACTATAGACTATTTCAAGCTATTTGTGTACTCTTCAGCAATATATATATTGGCAATCTTAACTCCTCAGATAATTGCGTTTATATATGTAGATAATACATTCTAGCCCCTTCCCATTTGGAGTGAAAGATTATCAAGGAAATGCAATAAGCCTGAATTGTTTAACTCATTTCATTATATTGGAGTGTAATATGCAGGTAGTACTATTTTGGCTAATGGATAATACATAGGCATCTTAGTATTCTCTAAATTTAGAATCCAATAATTAAAGACAGACTAAATTTCTCTTAAGGTTTTTAAATTCGTAATACTCTACTTATTGTTACTACTAAATTTGCTAATGGATAGCATTGTGCCTTTCAATGTGCCAGATATTACAATAATTCTATTCTTCAAAGGAATGCTTCCTTCATTTACTCTGGGTTTCTTAATGTTTTATTTGCCTGATCTTGTTATTTAAAAGCTTCTCAACAGATATTCTAAATCTGATAAAGAAATTAATAAACCGCTAATTGATGAGTCAAATGCATGAAATTAATAGTTAATTTAATTTTGATGGATTAATTAGCTATATTAAGTAATCATGGATTATTCCTTACCTTATTAAAAATTTAGCTTAACGGGGTTTTGGGGTTTTGGGGTAAGGTATGTATAGAGA